TTAAATGAGTGGATATCCAACTATTCTTTACAATTAAAATCAACTATGTTGAGTAAGCAGACTCAAAAGTCAAACCTCAACTACCGTTTGCTGGCTGGGGAAGTTACTCAATCTCTTTGTGTCTTTTTAAATTTCTAATTTGGGAAGATACATACCCACCCATGTTGTTTAGAAAAGTAACTGAGGAGGGGCACCTGGGTGGCTCAGTGGGTTAAGGCCTCTGCCTTCGGGTCGGGTCATGGTCTCGGGTTCCTGGGATCGAGCCCCGCATCGGGCTCTCTGCTCGGCCGGGAGCCTGCTTCCCTCTCTCTCTCTGCCTGCCTCTGCCTACTTGTGATCTCTCTCTCTGTCAAATAAATAAAAAAAAAAAAAACTAAAAAAAAAAAAAAAAAAAAAAAAGAAAAGTAACTGAGGCAATGGACAAAAAGCATGTAGCCCCTCCCAGGCACATCATTAGTTGCTCAAAAAGTGTAAACCACTCGAGATGCCTGGGTGGCTCAGTCAGTTGAGCGGTTGCCTTCGGCTCGGCTCATGATCCTGACATCCTGGGATCGAGTCCCACATCGCGCCCCTTGCTCTGCAGGGAGCCTGCTTCTCCCTCTTCCTCTGCCTGCCTGTACTCTCAGTATCTCTCTGACAAATAAATAAATAAATAAAATCTTAAAAAAAAGTGTAAGCCACTCTTATTCAGAAGAGCTTGTGTAACATTTTGTAGCAATTTGATCCAGGAGTGAGCATTTTCTACTGTATGAAAGTTGCTTCTTCTATTTGCCTCAAATTTATTTTATTGGAATTTTGGCCCATCCCCTCATTTTCTCAGTGTGGCCAAAACTTCTGCTAATGCTTTTTATATAATGAGGTCACACTGAGAACATGTGTCTATGCAATCATGAACATAACCATTCCTAGACAGGGGTGTTTTTTTTTGGCAACTCGGTGATCTAATTGCAATCTGTAATCTGCATAATTACTGGAAAGACAAACTAATTTAGTTATAAAATTAAATAAAGATCTCACACATACACAATCACACATACATGTGTAAATATACATATATATACATATACACATTTACCCTTTGTTCTTCAATACACATAAAAGTCAAGGTCCAGGTTCAAACTATTTTTTTGGGGGGGGGGTCTTATGGTGTCTTTTTTTTTTTTTTTTTTTTGACGTGGAGTATGTGGGGGAATATGAAAGAAGATATAGGCTTCCTTCTTTGGGTCCCTTAAAGCAGATGACCTTGCATTGAATGAAGGCACACTCTTTGAGGGTGAAGATTAACCTTGGTGTTCAAACCAACAGTTTAGCAGGTGTTTTTTAGAGGAAGACACAACTCACAGATCTAGTCCTGGGGTCTTTCCCAATTTTGGAAGACTGGTGCTACCTGGAAGTCCAATCAACACAACGATACAGGGTGTGACTTTCTGAACACATTCTCCTCATTCTTCACTGTAATTCTTCTCCAAGCATTGCAAGTGTCTGAAGTCAATGGAAGATGAGCTGATCTAACTACTCCATGAAGCTTTCTCTTTCTGGCCCAGTGCCAGGAAGACTGAGGTCTTTGCCTGGTCAGATGGAAGCTTACAGAGAAGCAATTTCATCTTCCAATCCTTTGCCAAAGTATCCAGTGGAAACTTGTGGAATAAAACCAGGCTAAGCTGTTGTTCTCAAACATGTTTATTTGTTAACAGTTATACATGGCGTGTTACAGAAATTAATGGAAAATTTCTAAAAATTTCACTGTTGTTGAATGTATTGTACATAAAGTTAAAAATAATGTGTCCATATATGTTAACAAACTGTCATCTGAGGTAAAGTTAAAGTAGGTCTAGAAATGTACTGCAAACAGTCATTTTCTCTTTCTCATCTTTATTAAAAAAATATGTGTCAGAACGCAGAAATTGAAATGAACCAAACCCACAGAGTAAACATTTTTTTTTTTTTTTTAAAGAAGGTGCCCGGTACATGACATGATGGGGTTTCAGTAGACACTGGGATGAGTACGGATCATAAAGGAAGTCTTGTGGTACGGGGAGATCAAAGAGCTACGGGTCATGGGGACAGAATGACAGGTGGCGTTTCCCTGGTTTCAAAATTTAAAGTGACAAATTTAGTGCTAGTGAAGGATGAGGAATTAACAGCTGCACACACAGATTTTTCTATCGATCTAACCGGAACTGGGCAGACTCCCTATGGCCTTTTGGTACTGGCTCCTCGGCTCTTACTTGGGAATTCCACTGTACTCTTGGGATAGGATATGGTGATTCTGAGCTCACCCAACAGCGCTCGTTAAAACTCAGAATTCTGCCAATGATCACAAGGATGGCAGTTAAAAAATCTTGAGTTTATTTCCCTTACTTTCATGCATCACACGGGCATCTTTGTTAAGTCCAGAATCAGTTTACACGTCCAGTCGCATTCAGTGAATGATGACAAGTCCACTGGGCTGTCACTTTCTGCTGGGAAATTAACTCCAGACGGTGTACCCGAAACAGCAACATCAGTCAGCGTTCACTCGGAACGTGTCACAAGCCACCCAAAGAATCGGTATAATGGTGTGATGCTGCAAGACAAACTCCAGACAGCCACCATGAGGGAGAAGATATAGCACCACTTGGTCAGAATCAGAACCACGGACAGCAGAGCAGCGGAAGCCATTTCCCTCAGGGGAACAGCCTATCCTACCCAATCCCCAGCAAACAGAATCGAACCAGTTTCAGGACGACTCTCATGGTCATCACACCTCTCCCATTGTCCCCTTCCTGTGAAAGGATGAGTTAATTATAAAATGGATGCACATTCCTGGAGAAATCACATGGACCAACAGGTGATAGTTACAGTGGGGGATAAATGGCCCTTCTCACTTTTCTGGTTCCTTGGACCTTCCACGTTAAGATGACATTGACATAGATTCTTAAGGACATTTGGTCAGTCGACCTAACTGGAAAAAAAAAAATATATCACGTTCCAGTGACCTGATGGTGTACAATTTGGGCCTCGAGCAGTAATGATTACCTTGATTTCGATTTTCTCTTTGTCAACAAGTACACCTTCTTTCCAATCACTTTACTTTCTATTGGTAGGAAGAGCCACAGTAGACAGGCCTATTTAAGTCAATCAGATCAGCGTCAAAAGAATGCTACTTTCCCAATTTGAAAACCAAGTAATAACAGGTAACCCCAAATCAGACGGTCCTCTAACGCTTTCTCCTTAGTGTTAAACCACTAAATTCGACATACTGGAACTGCATAGGAACATCAGGAAAACACACGTGACCTGTAGAACAATTCTCTGTAGGGCAAAAATATATAGATTCTTTATGAAAATTATGTGCTAAACATACAAACTGAACACTGCACTTTTTGTCTCATAAGTGTAAAAAAAAGGAAGCTTAAACTCTTCTGTTTCACATACAAACAGTCCAGCGATCTCTATGGTGGGGGGTGGATGGGAGTGAAGATGTGGGAGGGAGTTTCAGAATCTGAAGGCCAGGCCTTCAGAATGTGAACATTTTCTTGTTTTCCGCCGACGGCGGGTACTCCTGTGGAAAGGCTGGAGTGGACGGTGGGGTCACGTGCTCCCTTCCTGTTCACTAGCTGCTGATCGGCCACATGCTCCTGCCAGCTGTCCCTGAACTCCAGCTTCCTCCCATATGCTCCACAATAACATCTGGAGAGGGAGCCCCATCCATCAATTTTGTCACATCCTGCACTCAATCTGCTACCTTCTCTACAGTGTAATGGCATTATTAAAAAGCATTTTCATTAACATTTATATTTACAAAAAAAAAAACTGGCAATTTTTTTTCATTAGAACTCCTTAAAGCCATTTCCCTTAAATATTTAAAGAGTTTAATGGTAAGGTTTTTTTTTTTCTTTCAAGTTATAAAATAAAAATCCCATTTGAATTTTCTGATGTACAAAAAGAGATAGAGATGAACCATTGTGATCCTGGAATCAGTTTGTTATTCTGAATATTCATGTCACCATTGTTCTACTAGAAGGTCAGTTTTAAGATCCAAAACCACATTACCAGGATTGTACCAGAATTATTTGGCAAATGACTTTTCTTTGAAAATGGCACGTGAAGAAGACACTTGTCTGCATAGCATCACAGCAGCAAGATATCGGAAAAATAAAAAATATCATTTTATGGTACTTAGAGTTTAGAGCTTCTGAGAAAATCAGATGCGTTTTCCATCCTTCTCATCAGTGGGATCCAATGTCCTTTCCTACTCACAGAATGAAGGTTCCAACAGAAAGCTGTCTCTCTTCGCCAGGATGCGGAATAGCTAAAGGGTTGTTTTGGCAACATTCTTGATCATAAATAACCACTTATTTGTCTTGTGATTTTCAAGTAAATTCATTTCATATGAGGCTTTTCTTTTCCAGTTAGATTTCCTCACCATAACTAAAAAAAAGTCAAAAGCAATACAAAAATTTTTACACCCATTAATTTTCAAACATGACAAAGGAGAGGGGGAAAAACGGCAGATCAGGCCCTGTGGAGTGATGAAAAGACATCGTCATATGTCAAAAGGCATATGGATGAGGAGACTGTAGTCACGGAGGACCTCTTGCTTTTGTCTAAAAGAAGTCAGTGCCAACCCCGTTGTCACTCTCTGAGGCCTGTCACTCCACACTTGATGTCTTTACAGCGGTCAACAGGTCAAGAAATAAAAAGAGAATTATGATTTCGCATACTGGGTCATCTTAAACCCACACTAAAAGAGCTCAGAATATTCATCGGGTAAGCATGATTTGCTTGATTTGTGATTGAATGTTGGGTATAATTTTTTTATACTTTTCTGATTTTTTTTTTTTTTTTTGTGCTGCCATAGTTATCTGCCATTGGTTGCCAAAAACTCTTAGTTCCCTCTTCCAAATGAGTCCCGTTGGGCAATCATGAATTTCGTCGTGAGATGAGGTGAGGTGGAAGAATACAAGAGAGCCTGTCGCGATGCTGATGTCCATGCCAGTCTTGAAGCACCGGCCGTGAGCTCACCTCGATGCTACTTCTTAGGTCTGTTGATCTGCGCATAGAGAGGCTCCAGCTCCTGGGGACAGAGGGACAAAATGAGACCCACTCTTTTCCAGATAGGATTTTTGGAGACAGCGAGGGAAGGAGGGTTTGGGATAAGAACAGAAAGATGACAGTTTATGATGGATGACCTTAGGTACTTTTTGGATTATTTGATCATGATGCGTGTCGTTCTGGCAACTTGTTTTAATCATCAAGAATAACTACTCACCCAGTTTTGCTTTGGTTTTCAAACTGAGACTGGTTTCCCAGTGAGGGAAAAAAGCATGGTATACCCGAGCAAGCAGTGTGGGCAGGATACTTGGCCTTTCTAGGCCTCAGTTTTCCCAAACATTAAATGGGAAAATACTGTTCTTCCTATGGGGTTCTTGGGAGAGTTAGAGATAATATATGTAAAACATCTAGCACAGTGCTTGGCGGTAAGAGGTCTTCAGAAAATGGTAACAATCATCCTGAGTCAAGTGCACATTTCTCCAACATAGCTTTATGAATGTCTACTTGAAACCGCAGAAATTCTATTTCAAACGGCTCTTTGGTTTCCACAAGCAGTGAGGACGGGGCACACTCTGGAGTGAGAGAAAGAGCAATTAGGATGTTAGCTCTTAGTTAAGAGCTTCCTAGACTGGTTTCCAACCAATTTCCCACTTCAGGGTTGGCCCATCATTTGCTTGTACCTGTGGAACTGGCTGTCCTGAGACAGACACCAGGATTTTCACCAGTACAGAATAAGGCAAACCCTCAGTCCAAAGGGAGATGGGAAATGGTGTTCAGCCCTGCTGGAACTACTTCAGACTTCTTCATGTTGAAATGGCCCAAGATGTGCTGTCCAAGCAGATCAGATCAGGACTCTGGTCTTAAGCATACATAGGCCCTTCTTTCAAGCCGACATGTTGCTGTCACTCTTGGATATTTGTGCTGGAATTAAATGGACACGGTGACGTCTTCATTCTGTCATGCTTCTCTATTGGCCTGCATCTTGCCATGTGAGTATAGATCCTTTCTATTTGCTTATTTTCTTGAACCATCAGATTGAACTGAGATTCTGGGAGCCCTGACCATGTATCTGGCACCATGCTAGCTATCTTCAAGTACATTGTCTTTTTAACTCATCACAGCAGCCGTAGCAAACAGATGCTTTATCTCCTTTGCAAATGGGAAATCACATACATAGAAGTTAAGTAATTTTTTCACGGTCCTACAGCTCTTGAGTTTGGGACATGAGATCCAAAAGTGGGGCCCAGTGCTTTTTCTAGTCTATTAGGACAACTGTCACATAAAAGGAAAGACCGATCATTGGGTCTGTAGTGTTGCAGAGTGCTTGGAGTTCACAAAGCACCCTCGTGTCTTATTTTATCTGCCTAATGGTCCTGGGAGTGGCTTTTATTCTATCTGTCTCATTTTGCAGATAACAACTGAAGGTCAGAGAAGGGGTGTGATCGCAAAGTCATCTGCTGCACTTCATGCATTTAATAGATCATTCTGCTTGCTTTTACTATAAAGTAGGAATGGACTAGGAGATAATTTTGTCCAGATCCATCCTTTTACAGATGAAGAATCTGAAGCCTAGAGAAAGGAGTTTTGTTTCTCTAGAGCCAAAGGTTACTTAGAAACCATGTCATGGATAGAATCCAAGACTCCTGCCATCCAATCCAAGATGACCTCTCCTGGACCACATCATGACAATTCTTCCAGGGAAAAGCATCTTCCTATCCTTTGAGGCCCCTTATTCTGCAACAGAACAGACTACCCAGAATACTGATTTGTTCCTCCAAGCTTTCCACCCGTGACACTTCATACTACTCTTGGGAATGTAAAAAGTATGTGTAATCCTTCGCCCAAATGCCTGATGACAGAAAATATGGAAGCCCATTATTCCATATCCCACCTCTGCATTACTGCTTGGCAGGCCCTTCTGCTTGTCCACATATGTTGCCCTAGCATAGTAGGTGCTCAATGAAGGCTGGTTGGATTCACGAATGACTATGATAGTTTCTACTTTCTTCACTGTTCTGATCACTTTGTCCTAAATACACTGCAGTTTGCCTTTTTTCTCTCAAAATCTAATCTAGCAAAATCTATAGCGAGTTATTATACACTTGACCCCTGCCAACGCCTTGAAATGTTTCAAATCCCCGTTTGAAGACCAATGCCCACCGTGATACTGTGTGTTTGTGTTCTGCAGGTGGGGCTGGGTGGAGCCAAGGTAGAGTAGTGATGTCAAGTACAAGTTCAGGGGAATAGAAATGTGGTCTGCCTGCACCAGGCTAGAGGATGTATCTTTATCTTTCTTGGGTAGAACTGCTCAGCCCACTCTTCTTTTTGGATACCCTAAGAAGTCAGGCTGCCTTGATCTCACCCTACAGTTTGCTCTCTTCTAATTCTAGAAACTAATTTATTCAACTGAGAACAACACCTAAAAACAGAAGAAGACAGCAGGCTCAGACAGGGTAATTAATGCCACACTGCATTAACTTTCTGCCGCTGAGATAAATATTCACACATCTCCTGCTTGGCGGAATTCAGCTTCAAATACCCATCACAACAGCAGTAAGGACTGTAGTCAACTCTCAATTATCCCCACTAATGAAGGGGAGCAGTGGTGTGGAAAACCCCAAGCAGCAGATAATCCCAAAGTCTGACACCGTGATGCATTATATGTTTTGGCAATAGCTTTACCTTCCCTGTTACAGAATCTTAGACTGTCAGAGCTGGAGGGGAGTAAGAAATCATTGGATCCAGAAATTTCTGACCTGGCTTCTGGCAAGGTCATGATGGGGTCTTCAGGCTATTTTCAATATTCCAAAAGCCTAAAGGGAATCATACATTAACACAGCACTCTGTTGACATTTTTCGCTTTCTTCTGGCAGCTTTGACCACATCTCTGGCCTCCTTCAAATCCTTCAGAGGCTCACCATCACCCACAGGGTAAAGTCAAATCTCCTTAGCTGGGCACATGAGTCCCATTCATCTTATCGTCCATTAGAGCTAATAAATGCCCCTTCTAGAGCGTGAATCAAAGCTCAACCTTCAGTCACCTAAATCATGTTTTTTTTTCTTCTTTTTTTTCTTCAAAGTCTTTATGCCTCTGGCAGAATGATCTTTTTGAAATGGATTTGGTCATGCCATTCTCCTTCTCAAAAACAACCATCCTGACTCCTTATTACCCCAAGGAAAATGCAACCCCCTTGGGATGGTACACAACAGGGATACTTTTCAACATGGCCAGCATCATCGGCTTCCTTTCTCTCTCCTATGCCCCACCTTCCGGTCACCTCACATGACAGGAATGTCCTGGCTCTGAGACTCTGTTCAGGCAGTTCCTTATGCCTTGGGGGACTCCCTTTGTACTGCAACGGGAGTTCAACTTTCAGACCCAGCTCCTATATAAAGGCTTCCTGGACTCTGCAGGTGATGTGGGCCACTCTGTTCTCACTCAGAACTGGGGCATGGTGGAGCTCACTGTGTGGAACGTACTAGAAGATCAGAGGATGCAGTGCAGACAGAGGTCTATACAGGGCACTGAAGGAGTCTAGGACTGAGGGACTCTGTGTAGGTTACTTAACTCCTCTAAGTTCCAGATTCTTCCCTAGTAAAATGAGGCTATCCTCTCTTTCAGAGCTGTGGTAAGGATTGAAGAAGAAAAAATATATCTATTATCTAGCCCAGAGCCTGCTACAGAAAGGTGAGTTCCTTTTTGCCTGGGTATATGTTTTTCTTGTTTAAATTTTAATAGTTTTTTAAAAAATTATTTTTATTTACATATAACGTATTATGAACCCCAGGGGTACAGGTCTGTGAATCATCAGGCTTACACACTTCACAGCACTTGCCATAGCACATACCCTCCCCAATGTCCATAATGGGTATGTGGTTTTATCCTTCCTTTGCAGAAGACGGTTTCAGGCCTGACGATCCCCTAAAGGTGGCTTCTCTTTCACAGCACCTAAGAGCTCCTGCCCCTGGGCTCCGTTAGGAAGTGTAATAATGGCGCTGGGGTACCCAGGGACATGGTGCAGAAAGAATGTGGAGTTAATCTAAACAAACTGGTTGTACTGCTCTGTGGATAAGAGACTTCCACATGTTTGCAGACTATTTCCAGTATGAATTATGGTCTCATGTACAGGAGCCGCGTAGAATCACAGAATTAGGGTAATAAAAGCTTCTATTTACAGAAGAACTGGCAGTCTGTCAGGTCATTCTTATCTCACATACAAGATCTCACTTGGGTGTCACACGGAGACTATACACTGGATATTCCTATCTCTACTTAGAGCAAAGAAGCAGGCCTCTTCCAAGCTTGGTGACTTGCCCAAGGTCACTCAGCCTGCACAGTGCAGAGCTGGATGTAACCAGGTTTGTTTTTTTTTTTTTTTTTAGCTTTCTTTTTTATTGCAGTATAATATATACAGCATAGCATTTGCCATTTTAATCACTTTTAAGTGTCCAATCCAGTGCCGTTAATTATGTTTGCAATGTTGGACAACACTTTCATCACCCCAGACTGTATTCATTAAGCAGTATCTCCCCATTCCTCCACAGCCCCAACCCCCGGGAAACTCTGATTTACCTTCCATTTCTATGACTTCTCCTATTCTCATTTTAAAATCAGTTTCATTGAGATATGATTTGCATACACCACAACGTTCTCATTTTAAGTGTACAGTTTGATGAGTTTTGACAAGCATATACACCGTGTGGCCCTCTTCACCACACTCAAGCTATAGAACTTCCAGAACCTTCCCTGTGTCCTTCTGAGTCAACCTCTCACTCTGGCACCAGCAACCGCTGATCTGGTTTTGACCACTACAGATTAGATTTGTCCTTTCCTATAGTTTCAGGGAAACGTATCCAGGTGTCCTTAAGCCCAATGTCCTCTCCACTACCATGTGCTCCCTCTTGTAAAACATTAGAGCGAGAAGGGCCCTCAGCCTGACCCTTCTTCCCTGCAGGAAGAAAGTGAGGCCCCAGACTTGAAAGCTGTTTTTCTTAAAGTTGCATCAGAAACGGGGTCGTGGG